CTATCTGTCTCTGTCCCATCTCGTCTTCTGACCGTCGCCATGTTCTGCTTCGTTGCCACATAATTTGTGGGAGGTGAAAATTGTCTTGCGTTAATGGCTGAATTTAGAGTAATTAATATAGGCGGATGGCTCTAAAGGTTCATTTTATTTATTTTATGTGCCTTACATTGTATGCTAATCAACAGGTAATCATGAAATCTAAATTTATGTATATGCCCTTTTCTGCGATTCTCGGAATTAGCCCAACATTTATCTAGGGCGTGACTATCAATCATTTAAATAGATCACATGTTTACAAGTCTGTTTCAATAATCAATCAATAATCTAAGTGCCTTTCTCGCTGATTCTCAACCATAAGGAATGTACATATGATCCTCATTTACTTCCATCAATCATTTTTATAGACTTTGCTTGCAAGTATATATGACTAAACAATAGATCATTTTTGAGCCGTTCTGTGTGATCTTTATATGACCAACAAATAGATCATTTATGAGCCGTTCTCTGTGATCTTTATATGCAACACATTGCAATGCCCCTTCTATACATACCCATAGTACTTTATATGAAAGCATTGTGGTAAACAACAAATAGCATATATATGCACCTTTCTCCGCGATTCACAAACGTTATTAAGTTAAATTAAATCTTATTTGACTATTAAGGTCTAGATAAAGCTCTTGATATTCTTTCAATTTAATGAGTTGTTTGTAATTACATCTTTCAGTTCAGCTTTTCACACCGTTTCTGGCAAGCAAATGCAAAGTAAATTGACCTTAACTTTTTATAAGCCCACACTCACACACACACACAGACGCAGACACACGCACACACACATATGCTTGTAGACATGTGTAAACAAGTACTCGTGTAATCTGTCACATGCAAAGAATTCCATTGTCGCTTTCAAAATCAACAAACTGTAACTAAACTAAAACGCTTGGCACACACTCAAGACTCCACAACTGTCACAAATACACTCACGCGAGTGCTCGTACTTATATTCGCGATCGCCGCCAGAGTTCACAGCAAGACATAAGTATGTGTTGTATATGTGCGTGTGTGTGACACGCAATATGGCGATCAGAGGCGTTAGTTCTGACTCTAACCCCGTGGCATGGAGTAGTTGAAGGTGGAGATGGGACGTCTGTATGCGCACTCGAATGTATCTACAAGTCAAATATGCATTAAATGTGTCATTTCGTGTGGCAACAACCTACGCGCGGCACGAGCAAAGACACTGCTCGCTTGGCCAGGCGATCTGAAAAGCGAATGGAGCACTCACCAGGCTAACTGACAAACTGCCTGACTGACTCTCGGGTCTGTCTGATCGGTTGGCTGGCTGGGCTGAGGTTATATGCCGACATCGGCATGATGTTGCTTTTGCTGYTGCTGTTGCTGATGATGATGAACATGAATCAACAGCCACACACAACGGCAACAATGGCAACTCTTCAAGCTTGGACAAACATTTCACGCATCAGGCATTTTATTGTGTAGAAATATATGTATAGCTATACATATGTTGTTATATAT